AGGATCACTTGTGATGGCACTTATATTTAAGTGTGAGGTAGGACACTTGTTTTAGGATATAAAAACAGTTTTTCTAAAAATCTTATTTTTACTCTTATGGGTTTTTTTTAATACATGTACAATGTAGCCACAGTTAAAGCATATATTGCACATAGTAGCCTAAATTAAAGGCTTATCTTAAAAAAGTGTTACAGTTAGAAAAATAAGTGTAAAATTTCAAATTAGAAATAGGGCCTAAATTATTAAACTGGTACTTTGTAACACACATGATCCTACAGGTGTCACTGGACACTTGATACGACTATCTCAACAAAGACATGCAGAAGTTTGCATGTAAGTTAATTAAATAATAGGTCTATATAATAGTCTATGGATAAGGTGGCTTATAAAAAAGCTTAAAAAATACGATGACATAGGCTAATCGTTGTTTTCATGCAAATGATCCTGCTTTAACATTTTTTGTGAATAAGGACGCATAACTTCTGAGCGAATGTGGAGAGATTGGAATTCCAACTTGTCAATGGAAATCAATGGAAATGAAATAAAAAGTGTAATAATAATACGATACTGGCTGACCGACCCCATGGTGATGGTGTTGCTTTTTAATAAGGCTATAAGAAAGCGGCTCAAATTTCGATTGGCCGAGGTATTTATTAACAGGATCCAAGTTATAGCCTACCTCTCGCCGAGCCTGAGACTGAACCTGGCATTTTTACAGTTACTACATATATGGTACTATTACTGCACATAGTATTTTTAGCCCTATATTATTTTACTTTTCCCACAAAAGTATCTTTCATTATGCTAAAGTTACAAGGGAGTAATGCCGATCCAAGGGGAGGAGGCTACGAGAGCAGAGAGTGAACTGTGTAATCAGGTGACAGAGTCCAGGTGGATACTTCTACAGAGAAAACTACATCCTGCTTCTGCTTGGTCCCTTTAATTAAAACACCAACACTCAGAGCTTAATTTCCTAGTAGAGTGTTTGATGCGCAGGTAGAAAAACTATAGCTTCATAGTTTGAGGACAATTTTAGCTGTAGGCTGTCTGAAGGTTCAGTCTGTTGCAGTATAATGCATAGATATATATAATAACAGCCTGCACAATATTGCACTTGGGTTGCCCAAACATGAGAAATATTACCATAAAAAACATTTTTAAAATTCAAAATTTAACAGATGAGGTTATGAGTAACAAATGACACGTAGTCAGAACAGCATTTGCCTCAAAGGTCATTTTTTGTTTTTCTCTGTAGGCTAATGCGGTTATTGGAAATGAATCAGTCAGCAATAAACTCTATATGATGACCTCATCAAGAGACAAAGGGTTCATTCAAATATCGTCAAATCACCCAGTTATTGACGCGCACCTACCATGCACATTCAACACAGCCCCATTACTGCAAATTAATAGATTAGTATGGCATTATTCCTCTGGCACATATCGATCCATAAACGTCTGCATCATATTGCGTCAAGTAAGAGCAACGTTCACGCGCGGCTTCGACTCAGCGTATGACCTTGATTTGCGCGCATAAATTGAAAAAATTACCACTCGATAATTTCCATTTGTGCGACATCTTTATGTAAAGGAGAGAAGGGAGCGGGGCCAAAATCAGATAAAGTACATTTGCAGGAACGGGGGCAAACGAACGTGACCGGGAACTGCGCGCAGTGTATTACATTAAAATGGAGAGCTCAATGGGTAATTTTAAGCCCTATCATAGGTTTTAGTGCCAGTTTGGAAACACACAAGTGGCCCGACCACCTTGCGTAACGCTGGCCTCTTCTCTGAAGCCAATGGCATCTGCTCACACGTGTGGTGGTGTACTATAATAAAGTGTGTTATAGCGGGACTGCATGCAGAGATTAAAGCATTTATTTAGAGAGCCAAAATAGGTGCTGTCATGGCAGAAGAAGAATTATTTCTGGCAAGTGGTTCATGAAATGAGGTTCTCTGAGGTCCTTCAGGGGGTGGCAGAGGGTTCCCTACCAAGAAACCATGGGAATCAATGATATTTCAATTGAAACAGTAAGGGAATGATATAATAAATAAGTTTAATTCTCACCTTATAAAGTTTTCAATTTTTTTAACAAATCATACCAAACAACAAAGATCCTCTTTGCTTCCTTGGGCAAAATGGGCCGAAAGTGTATGGAAAAGTTCTAGTAAATCCCCCTTAAAAAGACCTTTCACGTTGGCCCTGTGCGTCATCAAACGCTTCCTGTTATAGATACACAGTACTGGTGAATTTCTATAATCAGAGGGCAAGCAGTCCCTGGTGTGACGCGTGTTTGAACAACTCTTTTGACACTTCCTGAAGAGGAAATCTTGTTTTAAACCCATCCCATTTGCTTTGCTGATTGAATGCGAGCATCCGATTTTCATCAAAGTTCTATTAAGTGAAACATAGGTTGCGGGGCACCGTCTGATTGGAACAGTTTAAATTTTAATTGTGTTTTTAATTTGACATATAGTTGCTGTGAAGAATGACACTGAAACGCCGGGGGGCGGTCGATTTTCTTAATTTCTCCCCGAGGAATTGATGAGTCTATCAGGGCAGTAGATTGGAAAGCCATTAAAACTCAATGGTTAGGTTGTTAATTGGAACTTGATGGATAGGAGCCTGTGGATAGGCTGTACTGATCCAATCTTCCTGACTTTGTGTTTTCCAATAAATTACCCAGTTCATTTCCACACTCAGATTACATAAATTGTACACCTCCAGGGCTCGGGCGCTCTGCTTGCGTTTACAACTCTCTCTCCCTCTCCCTTACACATATACACACTTTCTATCTCTCTCTCTCTCTCTCTCTCTCTCTCTCTCTCTCACACACACACACACACACACACACACACACACACACACACACACACACACACACACACACACCTCTTGAAAAAAGAGCAGGCCCCGCTTTCTTGAATGAAAATCGAAACATAATCAACGTTTATACTTAGAAAATGTATCGATATCATTTTCTCTGGTAATTTCCTTATTCTAGAGTTGGACATGCCATACATCATAATACACACGTGTAAAGGGTCTTTGTTTAATATTTATCGAAGCTTGATTCCCAGATCAAAGCGCCTCATAACTTCATCTGTCTTTCTCAGACCTTTCTCTCCTGCTAAAGATCTTGTTCTGTTATTGCGGTAGGGCGGCCATACCACCACCTATCATTGTGATAGAGCACGAACTTAGGCTCGCTCCTTGCTGTTTGGGCCTCGGCGAAACGCAGGAACGTGGATAAGGGATGGGCATTTCCATACTAACAGAAGGAACTACACTGCTCGGCCTGCACCGCTGGCCTATAAACGCCACCTCTGACATAAAAACAGCGTGTGTAACTCATTCCCTGCAGCTCAATAGCGGTCTCTTATGTCCACTAGCCTATCTCTATGATGAACTAATCGCACTTTGCAAAAGTCGTCTGAAAGTGATGAAGGCGGCTGCACTGACAAAAGGTCTTTGTTTGAAAAGAGCGGCATATAAAATAAACCCATTTAACTGTCATTGCAGATTTCACGCCGTATGTGTAACCACCATAAATCCAGCATCCGCCGTGACTGCCCTCATATATTTGCCCCGTTCAGTAAAGCCTCCCCTGCGTAAGCGTTTTGTTAAGATCGTTAAGCAGCTGCCGGCCCCGCTGCCAGTTGACGATATTTACGCGTGGATCCAGATGCTTCTGTCTGGATGCTATGATGATGACGACAGAAGCTGCTGTCAGCACCATCATCCTCATCATCATCATCATCAGCGTCCATAGACGCCGTCTTCTCCCTTTACCAGCTTGTCTTAACACCGAATGCCGGTTGTGTGGCTACCGGGAAGACTGACTTGATGATTAAAGTTGACCATTTGTAATGTGTCTGGGGCTCCCTTTCAAAGCAGTAAAAGAGGGATAATGTGCCTGAACCGCCAGCTCAAGCCCCGCAGCTGTCCCGTAGCCAGACACAACCAGAAACACACACACACACACACACACACACACACACACACACACACACACACACAAAGATAGAGCATGGGAAGCGCGCCCCCCTCCTCTCACACACTGCGCACACACTGCGCGCGCGCACACACACACACACACACACACACACACACACACACACACACATACGCGTGCGCGCACTCAGCCCCCACCGCCTCCAATCAATTAGTCAATCAATTAGCCAGCCTCCACTCCACGCGCGGTCATCACGAGGCAGATTAGCCCAGTAATGATCAAATTAATTCTTAATCGCAGATAATGGAGGCGGAATGAGTTTATTATTTTCAGGAAAAATGAGTTAGGCCTCTGTATTAGTTCCAAGGCTGTGTGCGTGTTACCGTCACCTCGGCCAATTTAGCATGCATAGGATAATAGAAAAAAAAGCCGACATGCCACTTCTTGCATGAGGTCATCCTCAGTTGACTGAGCTTCTCCCTGACTGTACATGTTGCGTGTAGGATAATAGACACGTTTCCTATTTTTCATGAATCACACAAGATATTAAATTGTATTTATAAACTAGGCATGGGCTACTTAAGCCACATAACACACTCCATAGGAAAGATATTGCAAAAGCCGTTGATTTCTAAATAATATTAAAATATTTTTCATATAGGCTACCTTAACATGTTTGCTCAAGATATGACACATAGCAATATAGTGCAAATAACAATTACATAACTAGGTTTTAATTTACTCAACACTATATTAGCCCGTAGCAACCCATAGGCTATTGCATTTGTTTTAATAAAAAAAAAAATAAAGCAAAGGTTGCAGCTGACTGTTTTTGGAGTTAGCCTAAGTAAAAATTTCTGTAAATGTTCTAAGTGCAGAAATGAGTACTACTGGATTTCTTCGACTCTCGCTCTCTTCATCCCATCTCAAAACCTTGACAGGAGTTTGAAATTTCCGGGCTTATGTTGGAGGCTGCGATTGGCCCAGGAGGAGCTTACCTACATGCAAATGAAGCAACGCAACCTTGCTGCCTCTGATCCAGAGCGTGAGGAGGAGGACCAGGAATACACTCATGTTCCCCGAGCTCTAGAAAAAACACCTTCAATGTTAAAACCCCACAATTAAACAGGCTAGGGGGTAAAAAAAAGAAGACAAAAGCCGCTTTCGTTATTTTTACGCACCCATCGTGTAGAGACCATTAACGGAATACAAGGGGACAGACAGATTCAGTCAATACTTCGATACTGTTATGAAGCTAGCATGAGTAGCGCAGAAGACAGCGGGAGCAAGTGCTCGTCGGGCCCAATTTCCAGCTTTACCATCCAGTCTATTTTAGGGACGCCGTCCGACGCGCCACGCTCCGGAACCAAAGAGCTCTCCAAGGGACCGGCGCCTCCGCCGAGGAGGCGCTCACTGTCGGTGTCCTCCGAGGAGGAGTGCAGCGGCGGGGAGGACTCAGCAGACTGCTTCTGCTCCGACACGGGTCACAGCGAGCCATGCACCCAGCACCAAACCCATAATTTCTCCTGTTTAGGTGAGGACATTTTTTATTATTTATTATTATGCTTTTTAGCCTATTATTATTATCATAATTATCATTATTGGGAACGAAACTTGTTGAAGTGGCACAAAAGAAGAATTAAAAATGTGGTATTACACATAGTTACACTTTTCATATTTTTTATTTACTAGGCTATATAAAATTACATGAAAGTAGGTCCTAAAAAACAAAACAGGCCTCCCGTTTTATGTTTTTGTTTGCACTTCAGCTCACATTTCATTAGCTTGTATGTGTGACTGTAACACGCACATGCAGCTCATCCACTTCCACTTGTTTGTTGTGTGCAGACTATCAACGCAGCAGCGGCGGCGGAAAAGTGGAAGGTCGAATAATTAGCCCTCTGTCTTTCCTCTCATTTCAAATTTAATTGAGCCCGCTAATTGATGAAACATGTTTCTAAAATGGCTGCACTACATGTCGTCAATTGAGCGTTAAATTGAGCTGGATTTAATTAATAGCTTACAGTACACAGAGCATACTCGTGCTGAATTGTTTATTTAAAAAGTCACCGGCTTTCAGCAGTCGATTTAGTAAGTCAGAGTTCACACTTGACGAACTCTCAAACTGAGTATGCCGAAAACATGTAAAATGATTTTTCTCATTCGCTTGTGTAAAAAAAACCAGGCTATTTGTCGGTTGTAATGTTCATCGCCTCCTTCTCCTCCTGCTCGCGTTTAGGTCCAGCTAAAGGACTTCTGTCTGGAAATGACGGGCTCGCACGGCGGCCGCACCTGCCTCAGCCTCTGCTGCAGGATTATAAGGAGGAGCGGGAGAGACCGTGCCATCAAATGTCACCTCTGTCGGAGGAGAGACAGACAGACGGTGCGGACAAGCAGGGCAACTCAGCCAAGAAGAAGACGCGCACGGTTTTCTCCCGCAGTCAGGTGTACCAGCTGGAGTCCACCTTCGACATGAAGCGGTACCTGAGCAGCTCGGAGCGGGCCTGCTTAGCCTCCAGCCTGCAGCTGACGGAGACTCAGGTCAAGACGTGGTTTCAGAACAGGAGGAACAAATGGAAACGGCAGCTATCAGCTGAACTGGAGGCGGCCAACATGGCCCACGCCTCCGCACAGACACTAGTGGGGATGCCGCTGGTTTTCAGAGATAATTCCTTACTGCGTGTTCCAGTTCCCCGGTCTATCGCCTTTCCGACGCCCCTGTACTACCCGGGGAGCAACCTGCCAGCGTTACCTTTATACAACCTGTATAACAAGATTGAGTACTGATTGACTCTATTGTATGTTCACCACTGCGGTCCACGTAAAAACACACATTACAATACAACATTCTCATAAGTGTCTCCACATAACCGCTGTATATTAATTGTATCACTTTATTTGTTGAGGAAATTCTTATTATGCAGCAACTGTACGTCTCGCAAGAAAGCAATCAAGCTTCCCTACGTGTATAAATACACCATGTGTATAATTAATTGTAATATTTTTTGTACTTTTTATTTTATTTTCCATCTACAACCTTGACTTATAGAAATAATGGAGTTTTGCAGTCATATCCCATTCAAGAAAAATGGCTTCCACAAGAAATGCTTTTACACTGTTTTTTATTCATTATTGGTTTGTCAAATATGTCACAAAGCATCAGTCATTTTACTTCACCTGACAGGAAAAGCATAATTATTCCATTTAAGGAAAACTATCATTGTTTCTATTGTAATTTAGACCTTCAATAATAACCTCATTCAATAAATTTTCTATTTCAGTGAAAATTGGGCTTGCTTGGCTTTATTTTATCTAGGCTACTGTTTTTGTGTACTTACATTCGGAAACTTAACTGTTCAATAACTATTAACATAGAAGAGCTTAGATGTCTTGACACGTCTTGTCCCCTGAAGAACATACAAACTAATACTATTACAAGGCATTCTATTGAAATGATCCAGTGTGATAATTTCTATATGTTGAAGGATCATTATATACTTTAACCATGACTAAAGTAACGATTGAATGAGTCACTAATTAATATATTGCCGTTCATATTGTAGTTTACTTCGCTGTTGGTTTCTTACCATACGTCTATTATTTAATCAAATATTACGTTGTGAGCTTCTTGACAGGTGTATTTTAGGTGTATTTTAATTGAAGCTTGTATATGTGGAGGGACAGTGCCTTTGTAGGGATACAGTGTGAAATGTCATGCATTTATCCTTCTGCAAGGTCCAACTAGTGTATGTTTGATTCCTAAGCAGATTAGTCTGCAAGCAGAACTGCAGTTGTTTTCATTATGCAAAGTCGTACTTTCAGATTGATTTTGAATTTCTAAACACTGCTAGGAACCACCACACTCTGCTGTTAATCAAGAGGTTGATGATCTGAGCACTGAGCAAGTCACCTTATAAAGGTAATACATACAGAGGAAACTAAGAAGTAGATAAAGCACATTGCAGGGTGGAAAAGAGATGCACACTGTCACAAGCTCATCATGCCTCTGGGCCGGTTCTTCCCTCATTTGAAGTCTGCCTCTTAGCATCAGGCCTTGTAATGGGAAACATAATAAAGAGGCATATTGTCAAAGTTCAAGACTCTCATTAATCAAAGCTGTTCTCTTTTCTCCATCTGCATAATGAATCACTGCATCAGTTACATGTTGAATGGTGGACACCATATCCAGTATGTCTTGTTCATTCAGAAGCTACTTTAGATTTTCAAGTCAGCTTTTCACCAGTTTCATAGCAGTTATATACATGCAAATACTAAACACAAGCCTGAACAGAAACACACACACTTACTCACTCCCAAGCACACGCACACGCATACGCATACACACACACACACACACACACACACACACACACACACACACAAATGTCCTGTGGTTGATGGGGAGCGATAAAACCATGTCATTTGCCAGCTTTTCTTGGGTGTCACATCATGTACAAGGGACCCCCGCCACCACCACCCACCCATCCACCCATCCACCCAACCCCTTCTACCCATCCCACCAATCTCTCCCTGTGTGCTAATGGCTACATTACCTAGCAGAATCATGACTAGCCAGGCTCTGCTGCCCTGCAGATTATGCCTGACCCAATTTCTGCAACAGCCGCCCTGTGTTTCTGGGAAAATGGATAGCGTTAGACAACAGCAGTGATTTATGGGTAACTCCAGCAGCAGCGAAGAGGTGAGGTGCAGGAGGATGAATTTGTGACAGATAGGAGAGGGGGAGAAAAGAGAGACAGAGAGAGGGATGGGGTACCGTAACGCTTATGAAAAGGAGCAATAGCTTTGGTTGACTGAAGCTGTTTATTAGTTTCCAAGTGGTCATTATGTCATCAGGTGTGACGGCAATGCACCGCTCTTTTGGATGGATGTTTGCACCCCACTGACTTGTGGGAAATCTGCATGACCTGTCACCTGAGGTTGTTTGATTTACAAGACAGGAGGAGAGAGAGAGAGAGAGAGAGAGAGAGAGAGAGAGATGCAGAGAGGAGCAAAGCAGAGAACAAGAGCCAGAGAGAGAAAGTGAAAGAGAGGAATAGGTGGGGGCAGAGGAGGGGGTTTGATGTAACTATGTATCACTGCAATGGCAGGTGTGAATTACAAATTTTAATAGCAAGGCAATGAAAATGATTTGAAGTGGTTTAAACTGCAAAGAGACAGCGACTGGCATGGTGATGAAGATTTGTTGAGATGATGTGTTGTGCCTTAGGATTCATCAAACTTGCCTGGTAAGGTGAAAAGCAAGTGTAATTCACTCTGTGGTTTAATTTACGATGGGGGTAATGGAAACTGTGGGCTACACACAGTGTGGAGATGGAGAGGCAAAGACAGAGAGCACAGGGCAAATTGACTCAGGATAGTTTTTAGAGGATATTTACAGGATAATAATGAATTATACTAAAACCTCCGGATATCACCTCCTTTACGTCTTGAGATAAAACGATGTAGATCAAAACTAACTTAATAGAGACCCCATTAAATTTAAACAGGCTGCAGCAACATTACTTTGCTTTTTTTATTTATAATGCTCTCTTCTAATATTTGAAGAACATATATTTTTTTTACATAATCCATCCCTTCATCATTTATTTGAATGAGGGCTTTTCAACTACCTCCCAACATATTTACAGCCATTTGATTTAAAGAGGGTATGTGCGGCTTCATATTAGAGTGGAAGGTTATGAAGTATAACACCACGAGCAGATGCAGAGCCTCGGGTCTGCCTCAAGACAAGAGTTTTAAAAGCGATCGCAATGCATTAAGCCAGACAACTCTCAAGACCTGTTTGCTCCCTAAATGAATTTGAGGGGAGTGTAACAAGGTTTTTGAGGCAGGCCCTGTCATCCGCTGGCTTTAACCAGCATCTGTATTTATGGGTTAATGGTTAAAAAGGAGAGCTTGGACCAGAAGTGATTTTTCATGATTCTGTTTTATATCAACTGGAAATGAAGGAGCTGAAGGGAAATTGTGTTTGTCCCCCACCTCCCCAGCCCCCACCCCTTCTCCTTAACAGGCGAGGAATATGCGACTGTACACCAGGCAAAGGGAAATGGCAACATATGGATGAAGTATATTAAGTAAAATATGGTAAAGTCATTGCTTTGGAAATTATGTAGGGTACGTTAAAGACACACCAAAAATCATAAAGCAAATGGTTACCGACACAGCCTGAAAAAACACCTGGATTTAAATTAAAATAGTAATATTTTTTTCATTTGGTTAAATCGAACCCAAAGAATGGGTTTTAGTATTACAATCAATATGCTTAAAATGATGATACTGTGACTGACAGTATCGAGGTGACATATTTTGAGATGTTTATAACTCAAGGTCAAGTACAAGCAGCTCTGTTATTTGAACCAGTGAAAGCCTTTGCATCTCCAAGTTAAACTCCCCATGAACAATATTTAACCAAAAAATCTGGATTAGGAGTTTAATGGCAAAATGCATTATGCTTCATTGTTAAATTACCAACCATTTCTTGAACTGCCTGTTTTGAAGTGCCATTCTCTGTCCAATATGCATCAAACTATTATAGGCTACAGTACATGTAGAGAACTCGAATATTACTCTAGAGATAAGTCCATTAGCATTACCTTTAACACAATAATGGATGTGAGATACAATTCTCTGCTCTCCATTTTGTATTTGTAAAGATAATAGGGGGATTATCTTGAAGGCCTCACGCTACACGCTCAAGAGCGAGACCACACTGAGGACAGAGAGCTCTGCAACAGTTGTTTTCACATCCTCCCCTCTCTCCCTCAGCCCTACCCCCTGCTCCAAGACCCTCTCAAAGAGAGGGAGGGAAGATAAAGCATGTCATTATTCTATTAAAGACCTACAATTTTTGTAATGGGACTTGCAGCGGTCGGCAGAAGTGCAGGCAGCTTCTTCAATATCCTGGACATTATTTGCTCGTTTAGTTAAATGATGTTTCTAATTCCCTCATAATTACTTGTAATGAGGCTGTCTCCCTCGTTTTGATGCGGCTACATCTTAATACAGCATGGCATTCTTTTTTAGGGATAATTACCTCTCATGAGGCCGGGGAGCAAGGCTGGGGTTTGTTGTGCGCTGCACACGTGGCAAATTGGCTTGTTTCCTGCCATCTTGTCTTCCTGCAAATTGGTAAATTAAGTTTCTCGGCTGGAGCATTATAACTGTTAAGTTTGCTTTCTCGGCTCCTTCAGATTATTGGCTTCACTGACGGAGAGAGGGCTGTATATTCTGTGTTTTGTCCTATTAACTTTGTAGACTGTTTATTTATGGAGTGTACAGCAAATGTTAGGGGAGCTGAATTTTAGAGCAATAAGAAAAATTTGTTACAGGAACAGTTTGGAAATTATTGGAGAAATGTATTCTAGATCATGATGCAAACATATTTAATTTATCTTACATAGTTTATTTTAAAGACAAAAGCTTAAAACCAGAGAGCTAAATCTGTAATTTATTATCATTGTGACAAACCTCAAGATGTATTTGCATGTATTAGGTTGATTTATTGTAGTGCTAACAGACAATAGTGCCATAAACACCCGCACTGCCATTGTGTCAGCAAAGTCAGTGAAGCAGTTTCATCATTTAAATATTTATGATATCATCTTCCTCCAAGTCTTTTTTTAATCATAGGGATAACAAATATTTTTATATTTAAAAGTTCAATTTTGGAAGATTTTAAAATACAGAAATAAGATGTATCTTGTTAGAATGGATTTTCCCTTTCACCAGCAGACCTGTCTGTGTTGTCCCTTTGAAATGATCCAGCTGCCGTACTCCGACCACAGCCGTCGCAGGGTTGGCTGAGGGGTTTTTATTTCTAAGTGCTGATGTGTCGCAGACAGTTTGGCTCTACAAGGGCCTGTTATACGCCGATTAAAGAGAGGGAAGGAGTGGTCCCGCAGGGCGGCCTTGTACATTTACCCTGACCACAAAAAGGTCTAACGTTTACGCCCCGGTGCTGACATGACCTTCAAACAAGGTCCCTCTGCTGCCTGGGTGGATACTGGAACTGTCTGGAGGAGACCTGCAGTGAAACTAACAGACAGACAGGAAGAAATCATATCTTTTATATCAGGAATTACCTGTCTGCCATATCCTGTAAAGTTAGAAGATATGGCTTTTATTGGGAAATACAGGAAAGGATAGTTATTTTCACACTTAAATGGCAAATGTGATTGTAATTTTCCAAAAGCCGTTGTCAGTTTCACTGAATGTTGGAACATGATATAAGAAGTATTTTTTCTCCATTAAAATCACCTACATTGAC